TTGAACAAAGATGGCAAGGTAAACAAAATTGGAAAGGGGAAAAATTAAAGGGATCAACTTTTCCATGTGGAGACAGATTCCCCCACCTTCAAGACTCAATGTTAGGATAGAGATATCTTAAGACTAGTTGAACTAATTCTGAGGACCTTTGTTAGTCTCCCTTTTCTATTGAACAATGAGCTCCTAATCAAATAGCTATGGTGGTCAACATGGAGTGCATACATGCAATCAGGCACATGAAGATCTATTCGCCCAAGCCTAGAAATGAGCCCACACTGATTTCCTGAACTAGTAAACTACCCGGGGGGGGGGTGATTACTCAGCTATCTGATGACAATACCAATTATCTCCTGGAAGGCAATAGTTTCTTCTGAATCCATATAAATTTATACTTCATATGGGTTTGCCTCTCCTACTTACAGTATCTTGCCAAATTCAGCAACTGGACACTCACAGAATTATTCTTACCCGCTGTCGTGATCTTCCCTGCTTTGCATCTGACTGAGGAGCTTGCTTTGTGGTGAATTGTGTATGGAAACAGGTTCATGCTTGTAGACTTAATTAGTCTCATCATGTTATCTGTCACTCTGAAGCGGTAGAAAGTTTGAGTGGTGAGTCTCATCAATCTGTTGCTAATGCAAGTGAATGGAAATACTTAACAGGACTAATGTCCCATAAGACACTGTGAAGTCTGAGTCATCAACCAGAATATGTTGTTCTCCCTATCCAACATCCTAAATCCATGATCCAGAGGATAGAAATAGTCAATCTTCTCTTGCTGCAGTCATTAATGATCCACTCACAAGACTTATTCTTTCTAGCCTCAAATTTATGTTTTAGTTTGAAAAGTAAAACACTTCTACTGGAAGATGCAATATGGATCCATTATGCTGGAAGTTGACACTGATGGCTACCTTGGGTACCTTGCACTCAGAATCAAAAGTAGGGCTGGCTGAAGTGATGGCTCAGCTGTTAAAAGCACATAATGCTCTTATAGATGTCCCAAGTTGTTTCCCAGCACCCATGTTGGGCAGCTCATAACTGCCTATAACTGTAGCTCCATGGAATCCAAGACATTCTTCTAGCCTTAGGACATACCTGCACTCACATGCACATATACAAAACACACACACACACACACACACACACACACACACACAAAATGTATTATTTTTAAGAATCAAAAATAAAGTAGATTTTGCTATACTATCTGACATGATTGTGACTGCCACAAGTAAATTGGGCTGGTACTGGACCATAGGGTTAAGTAAAAGTACATGTGGAATGCTGGAGTGTCTCTTGGACTGTTGTACTCCATAATTGCTTCTGTTACTATAATAAAATAAATGGAAAATAATCTCAGTTGTCAAGGTCTGAGCCCTTCAGAAGGTAAGGAATCATGATCAAGGGTTTTCTTGCTGAGGACAAAGGGATGAGATGAGCAATGAAACAGGGAGGTTATAAATACCATGACAATAAACTCAGTCCAGACAGGAACTGCCTTTCCTGGAATTCCCTTGCCAGAGTAACACTGGGTCAAGAAGTCTTAAAAGAAGTTAGCATCAAGTCGGGGAAGAACCGAAGATAAGTAGCCACCACACTCTAGAGGTGTTACCTGGGAGAATTATAGTGAGCGTGCATTTTCCTTGACCCTTGATGCTGTAACTTGGCTCAGCAGAAGCCATGGTTCTAGCTCCTATATATATTCTCTCCCAATCTCCTCCTTCGCCATCTTCATCATATGCCAGGTGTACACATTTAGCAAAAAGCACTAGGTCCTTCAAGCATCCCACATCAAGGTGGATAAAGGGCTGATGTGCATCCTAGCTTGCCTTTGGAATTTTATGTTTGCACCCTGCTATTTCATGTCCAATTTTTCTCTCTCATGGCATGACTGACAGAGACTTCAGGCCGTGTCATAGAGAAGCAATACTCTGTCATGAGTCTTCCATGTTTCTTTGATCAAACCCTGATTATTTCACACCATTCATGGAGGAAACCATGGAGACAGAAATCAGGAACCATTGATAGTGTTGCTGTCATTCCCTACCACCGCTAAAGGGCAGCTCTCCTACAGGTGGGTAAAGCTGGGGGTCATATGGTTCCTGAATATTTTATGATATCCTTTTCAGTATCAAGGCTTCTTATTTTCTACCTCGCCCTGTCCCAGAATGTACCAATAACAAATGCCAGATCAGATGGGGAAACATCTTAGTTTAAGATTAAAAATAATACCACATATGTCTATGTAGTTCATGTCCAAGATTCAGTTCACAAACAAGGTGAAGGCTAAGACTGCTTGATCTGCCATTGGTTCTCCCAATGAAAGTTTCTCCCAACTTCCAGAGTATGATTTGGATCTTAACTCCACATTAGTGTTCTTCCTTCTTGTTTTCTCGTGTTTCTCGCCTCTTTATCTTTTCAGGGGTCATCTCTCATTTGCTGCCAACATGGGATCATGGAGTCCTATGACCTTTTTATCCTCTATGTCATTTGACAAGCACCTTTCAGTCAGCTTCCCTCCTCACTCCTCACCCCACCTACATCAGTCCAGATGCAACTAGTAGGCACTATTCTGTGCTGTCTTCCTGACTGGTACTCACTGACAGGAAAAGTATCTGTCAGCAACTGAAATCCATGTGAGGATCTGGAGCTGTTCTGTTCATACCAAGGTAATGAAGCTTACTGAATCTTTCTATGTCATTCGACAGATCATGGATTCATTTTAGGAAATCATTGTGTCCTCTCAGTATGGACCAGAGACCTTGAGAATGACACAGGAGGAGGATAGAGACTGTTTTCTCAGAAGATGTAATCATTTCCCAACTCCATCCTGAACATTCTAGGCAGTGATTGAGACCCAGAATGCTGAGGAATCTGCTGTCCCGTGCAATGGCAGGGTTGCTGCAGTGTGTTCGTGAAGTGATTAACATTCCCCATGAAGGAACAGAGGCTGAGTGACTCAGAGCAGATTAGGAGAAAAGACCTGAATCCTTCTCAGAATCCTTGGTATGCTGCTTGGCAAGGTTTCTGTCTGCCTCAAGACAGACCGCCTCCTAAGCCCCTAAACTTCCAAACACATACATCATGTCCACATAACTATTGATTCTTTCCCTTCCTTTGCAGAAGAAATGATAAAAGGAAGAGAGAAAGAAGAGGAAGGAGAGGGAGGAGACAGACAGCCAGAGAGAGAGAGAGAGAGAGAGAGAGAGAGAGAGAGAGAGAGAGAGAATCTTATATCCTTTCAAACTTTAACATTTAGACTTAGAAATGACCTGCCACATTGCTGTTTCTAAGTCTCTCTGGATCAGAAGCAGACTCTCTCAGCATGCTCTAGTTGACAGTAAAGAAACACAAAAACAACAACAAAAACACTGTTGACATTACAGAAACACTAGAGACTTACTTTTTGCCTATTTCATACTTTATATTAGACCAAAATAATTCCAGCTAGCTCTCAGTTAATCCTGTTCTGTCCAATTTCCACTTTTCTAATGAAAGAAAAATTTAAAATGACTCTTGACAGACAAGCTGTTTGAAAACAGAAATCAATGTCAAAATATTTCATGTGTAACATTTGCAAGCACATGTTCACAAAAATATTTATGTCAAATGCAGTCACATAGAGCTAGACACGCTGGAATTTTCAATGCTCATTCATGGCGGGCAAGCTTTGGTGCACTGTGGATCTTCCTGGTGGCTAATAAAATGGAGAAAACATGTGGATTACATTCCTCTCCCATCGAACTTCCAACTGTTTGTGGGTTGAATACCCTCATTGTCACCACCAAGGTGCACACGAAGAACAGAGTTCTAATGACTGGTACAAGTGGGAAGAGCACATCTTGCAACTTTTACCTGACACGGTGAATGACCCTAAAGACTGTCAAGTGAGCTGGTGGCATCGGGAAGTGGGACTGTGAAAACCACAAGTGACAGATTGGCACTGACACCTACATACAGCCACGAGGGAGATGACTGTATTCTAAATCCTTAATTTGAGTTTAGCAGTGATTTTGTCATGGTGTCTGATGGGAGCCCCTCAAGTCTATAAGTCCACCGTCCTGCCAGAAGAGGCTGGGAGGCAACAGAAAGGCCAGTGGTGCTGGGATCCTTAGCCTCCATGATCATTCTCTCTGCTTTACACGCCCATTTCCATCTCCTTATATGAAAACCCGTACAATACCAGAGGCAAGAGAAGCATGTGCCTAACCAAATAAGAGGGGTGAAGTGCAAAGAATGAATACCCCAAGTGACTTTCATGAATATAATGAAAATAAGTCTTTACACATCAACAAAAACACAGCAAGAATTTTTTTTTTCAAAAAATATTTTTAAATAGAGTTTTGTCTTTTTTTTTTTCTTTTACATTCTGATATACATATGTAACAAGGTTTATGGCACTGTAACCAGAATCAAATCAAAAAAGAAAAACAAGAGGAAAGAAAGAAAAGAAAAAGAGGGTGAGAAATGGGTGGGAAAGCCACTGGTATTGTTGAATTTCTATCTCCAAGCTGGTTTGATTTGTCACTCAGCTGCCAGTTCTAACTCACTCCCACACTCAAAACAAAACAATATTTTTCATTGTACAAGTGCCAGCAAAGGCACATGGTATAATGGTCAGTTTCTTTCTATTTAAAAAAAAAATCTTTCCAACCCAGAGAAAGGGAAAAACTATCCAGAGCATGAAACACACAAAATCAACATACCCTCTGTCTCTCCAGAGAGTGCATGAAGTGATCTGAGGCCACTGAGGCTGCCTGCCCTTTCTTCTCTTCTCGTCGTGCACCAGTGAGCACAACAGGGCATGGTTTGGCGGGGTTTGTTTTCTACATGGTTGGCCAGGAGGTTCCAGGTCTTCCAGAATCAATATCTTTTCCACTTCCTTCTGGTTCTTTGTAACTGAAGTGTGGTATCTTTGGTCTATGAGCCCGCACAGACGATCAGACGATTTTTAGTCATAAACTTTACAAAGGCTAACAAGGAAAACTGGGGAGAAACAAGTTTCATAATCTTTTTATTTGTTGGCTTAAAAAAAGAAAATGACCTCTTTAACCTCCTTGCAATACCAGATTAAGAGAACTGAATCTCAGTGGTATCAGAAGTTATAGTCTCCTCACACTTATTAAAAATAGAGTCTTTAGACAAGTTTGTTTCCTTTCACAAACTTTCCCCCAACTTTAAAAAAACAAAAAACAAAAAAAAAAAAAAAACAGAAAACAAAACCAGAACTCCCTCCCCCGCTTCACGCCTGTTCATTTCCGAACAGAGCCATGGCCCTTTCCATCACGCCTGTTGTCACACAACTGTCTCCATGCCCATCAGCTTTGGTGTCAGGATCCGTGGTGTCACACCATTGTTTAGGTCTTCCTCAAATTCCAGCAACTGCCCCATGAAGTTGAGGTTTGGGGAAATAATTGGTCGTTTGCCTTTGACGAATTTGTAAGCATCAGTCATGGTCATCCGTGTGTGCTTCATCAAGTAGGCGATGACGATGGTGGCAGAGCGGGACACACCCGCCTGGCAGTGGATGAGGAGGCCCTTGCCACACTGATGAGCTTCCTCTGTGGGACAGACAGACAGACAGGTGGTGAGGGGGAGGAGGAGGGGGTCAACTTTTGTACAGAAAGAATGGACTCAGATGGTTTCAAAGTATATGCACCAGTGCATTCTACATGTTCAAGTCATGAGTTACAGAACTGGCTTCAAGCAGCAGTTGCTGGTCTGCATTTTCTTAAATTATTTTTTAAAAAAAGTTTGGGGTGCACATCCCACAGTGTGCAAGAGTAGGTGAAAGGGCAACCTGGAGGGGTCAGTTCTCTCTTTCCACAAAACGAGTTTGTGGGGATTGAACTTGGGTTGTCACTCTTGGCAACACACACCTTTTACCCACTAAGCCATGTCCCTGACCCTCCTTTTTTTCTTTTTGAGGTGTGTGTGTATGTGGTACATGTGGTTGTGGGTGCATGTCTGCGTATGTGTGAGTGCATATTCACATGTGTCTGTGGAAGGCCACGATTAATGTAATGCGTCTTACAGATCACTCTCCATGTTATATGACACAGCGTGTCGTGCTGAACCAGGAGCTCACTGTTTCTGCTGGCCCAGATAGCCAGTTTGCTCTTGGGTCCCCATCTCAGTCCCTCATGCCATGGGATCCACAGCAGGCTACTGCAGCTACATGGCCCTTGTGTGGGGTTCTAGGGATCTGAGCCCCCATCCTTATGCTTGCATGACAAGTGCTGTAGCTGCTGAGCCATCTTCCCAGCCACCTACGGTTCTACATTTACAGAGAAGATAGGGCAAGGGAGTCATCCATGGGAACAGCGCATGTCCCAGGGTATGAACACACTGGTACACTCATGACAAGGAAGCTACCACACTCAACATAAATGTTACCGAAGCTCTCTTTCCCAACTATCTTGTTCCTTTTCTACTTTCTCTAAAGTCACGCCACTGACAAAAAGGGAAGGAAAGTAAGAAAAGGACAGCAGAAAAAAATGGAAATTATATCACATATGCAAATGTGCATATATCATAAAATTCTTCTGATTAACACTGTTAATTCCACTTTCCAGGTTATATGATTATATGACTGAAAAACTAGTGCTTTTAGCAATGTAGAGTCTACACGCTACACACACACACCTATCTTTCTTTATACTATAGAAAATTGTTCTCTACAAGAGTTAGCATTTAATGCATAACATTTACTAAATCTCCATGGAAGGGAAGGAATGAAGCTCAGCTAGAAAGTTTCTACACCCAGCTTCCTACACACCAGAGAACCCAACTGTTGTCAAAGGTAGACTTGTAGGGGGCTGACCTATTATTACATGCCCCTCTCCCAGGTAATCAACCCCTTACCCACACATACACTGTTCCTGCAGGGCAATCATTTGGGAGGTAGGATTCCCAAGTAGGTTAGAACCAAGAGCAACAGAAAGTGGCATGTTTAATATTAAAAGCTTCGGATGCCTGCCAGCACTGGACAACATTGTAGTGATACTTCTAGATAAAACATGTTCCCAAGGATGGGTCCCTGGAGGAATGTAGGTCAGTGATGAGGAGAAGAACACATCATCTATGTCATCTGTACTGGCTGCTAAATAGTAGACTTAAAGACGGGCACAATGTCAATTTCTTTCTCACCAAATTTGTATAGACAAATTTGTATCAAGAGATCCCAGAACAACACTTAAAGAAAATCTCCCTTGGTCAGCTTCTCTTTGGGGCACACTAAATGACCTCCCAAATGAGAACATCAAACACGGTGGTAAGAGAATAATCAAGGTGCCCATGGATTTGATCAGCTGTTCCACTAACTCTCTAGCTGAGCAACCTTGTGAGTCTTCTGACGCCCCACCCCCAGGACCTCATTCTTCCTGCTTGGACACTAGCTCACCAACGGTTAACCTGGCATTGTTATGCCCTAAACCTGGGCATTGCTTAGTTTATATTAAACTCAGGTGGATGTTATTATGATGTGTTTCCCTTGAGGCCACACCATAACATTTCAATTTATCCAATCAGAGGACAAGAAGAACAAAGTTGAGCCCAAACAAGTGATCCTGAATTATTCTTCAGGCTAAATGTTGCTTGATATTAGTTTTGTTTTCTTCTAAAAGAGCAGGTAAATCTGAATAATCCAGAAGGAATGTAAGCACCCACCGTGGCTGTAATCTTAGAACAAGCCTATCCCAAGCTATTCGCTAAATGGAAAACAATTTCCCAACTTCCTCCACCTGGCGTTAGGTCAGGTGGATTCTCCTTTATAACAGCCTCTATCGACCAGGAAATTCCTGGTCTACCTGGTGACAAGCATTTCCTACTCAGGATTCCAGGCTTGGTTTGTGTTTTATGAATAAAGGATCCAGGGCATCTTTTTTCCCAGTGCTAGGAACTAATTAATGCAGCATAGGCCCAGAGTGTCAGTTTAGGAGTCCTGGCTAGGAGTCTAGAGAACTAGGACACTAGGTCCCTAGCTTTTAGTTTTTATTTTTTTCTCATTCCTTCTCCTCCCCTCCTCTCCCCTCCCTTCTCCTCTCCCCTCCTTTTTTCTCCTCTTCTCTCCCCTCCCCTCCCTACTTCTCTCCTCTCCTCTTCCCTCCTCACCCCCTCTCTCTGTACAGGTATAGGCACACTACAGCACACAAGCAGAAGTCAATGTGGGTCCTTGCCTACCACCTTCTTTGAGATGGGATTTCTTGTGCCACTGTGGACACCAAGCTAGCTATCCCTGTGAGTGGCTAGGGGTTGTCTGCCTCCCATCTTGCTATAAGAGATAAGTCATCTGACTTTCCTTGGGTTCTGGGGAACTCACACTCAGGTCTTCCTTCCTTTACTGTGCCTTCTCCTCTGCCCCCAGTCCCCTCCTGACACTAGGATTCCTGACATGGAAAGGTCACCTTTCTTCTGAGTTTACAGAACACTCTGGCTACCCTTCCAGAGTAGCCATGGTAGGGCCCAGCACTGAAGGACAAACTGAAAAGGAAAACAGGCAAGCAAGTGTCCAGAGCCACTAGCTTGCCAACAAATCCACCACCCTTGTGGCTGCTGAACTTGAGACTCTTATTTTTGAGAAAAAGAGCAGTGACAACCTGAGCCAATAATGTGGAAAGCACGAGCTACCTCTTTGTGCTGATAAAAGTTGGAGTCTCTTAGAAACAACACTGAGCATTTGTCATTGTTCTAGTTACCCTTCTCGTCTCACCACAATACTACCAGAGCTACAAAAGCTAAGGTTGTCATCGAGCTGGTGGTTGCTTCCTTCTGAGGTTGCTAGAATTTTCCTTCTTGGGTCCTACGGGGACCTGATCTTTCCTGCTTCTCTGAGCCTGAGACGAAGTGCCAAAGACAACATGTACCTTCCCTCAAGCACTGACAACAATGTTTAAGAACTGAGGTCAGTCTGGTAGAAGAAAACAACTCCTGCCAATCTTCCTCCCCATGTCTGCCAGGATGCAGTGTGTGAAGGGACTCATCACAGAATGGTCTGCTTTCTGAAGAAGTTTCTTCAGGACCAACCCTTTCTTTCACAAATGCTGCCTCTGCCCTGGCCTTAAGTGAAGGGGCCATAACTCACGGTGCTGAATGGAAATCACTTTCCCTATGCTGAGTGAATAAAGCTGGTAGTATGGAGGTTTGGAGGCAGTTAAAGGTGATATCACAGTCTTTATTTGGTGTGTGGGGAGTGGGGGGGAGCTGCATAGACTAGGCAGGACCCGCTCTGACTAGTTCTTAAGTTCCCCTTCATTCTTCTGGTCATACCATATCTAATGTCCAGACTCCACCGTAGCTGCTTTGTTAACTGGAGGCTAGATAGAAACTTATGGTTGAACAGATGCAAGACAAAAACAGTAATTATGTCTTTAGTTTGAATATGAAATGGCTCAAAAGGCCTGTGTCAAATGCTTGGTCTCCAGCAGGTGGTATTGCTTCCAAAGGTCTTTAAAACTTTAGGCAGGGACCCTTGCCTTGGGAAGCAGGTCACACACTGTGTGTTACTGAAGGCAATATATTGTCCTGGCCCCTCCCTTCCTAGTCACCATGAATTGAGCAGTCTTCATCATACACACCTACTGTCATGTTCTGTCTCACCGCAGGCCCAGAATCAACAACGCCAAGGCCTAACCTTAACCCTAACCCTAACCCTAACCCTAACCCTAACCCTAACCCTCTGAGATCATAAGCCGAGATAACTGGTCCTTCAGGTCAGCTTCTCAGGTATTTCAGCCATGGAAATGGAAAGCTCACTAACTCAACTATTCTTGTATGTCCATCTAGATAGTTCCGAGACCTAAAGGAAGGACTATGGTTTGTTTGTCTTCCTCTAACAGAGGAGCAAACCTTGGGCCTTATATCAAACCCAGAGCTGGAGGGAAGGGAGAGCTGCCCCATACCCTGGGAGATAGTTACCAATGAATTCAAATGCCTCCTCGAAGTACTGCCGCAGGTTCTGCTTGTTGCTGTCAGTGGCCGGCAGCCTCTTGTAGTTGAAGAGGCCTTTCTCATAGTGGTACAGGGGAAGATGAGTGGTGACGTTGATGACATAGCCGATGTTGAGCCTCTGCATGGTGTCTAGGTCCTGAGCATCCTGCTCATTGCCAAGGAACAGGAAGGGCAGGATGGGCGTCAGCTCTGCGTTCTCGATGTCAGGGGTGGTGGGGACAGACTGAGGTAGCATGCTCGAGGCCGCAGATGCGCCGCCCCCCACCTCCCGGCACTCTTGGAGCTGGAGGGAGTTGTCACAGAGGTTTTCATGGTTCTGTTTAAAACTACTGAGTCCCCCTGCAAGGGAAACACAGAAAGCATGTGTGAATTAGATGGCAGAGGCTATGGAAAATGTCAGCTTCCCCAGAAAGATGAGTGCCACTGTGCCTATGAGTGCATTTTTGACATTTCTAAAATAAAACCAGAAACCAGAAGTCTATTTGGACACACAGAGACAGCTTCAGAGGGCTTGCACTCCTTATTGCACAAACTGGGGCAAGGTGCCTGGGAACAAGTGCCACCCAACACCCAGCAATTCATCAGCTACAAATTTGATTTGCTTCTAACAGACATAAGGTCCCCGGCTCTAGAAAGCATTGCACTTTGGGAGCTGAGAAAAGCAGGATGGCACTGTCCTACAGATAGCTTCTGCTTGTGCCCTGGTGTTGTGCACAAGCATCCTGTGTCATTTAACTCACCTTACAGAAAGCTAAGTTCACTCCTGATGCAGCCAAGCAATTGCAAGCAGGTGCTGTGGAAAGGCCAGGCTATGCTGGCTGTTGTCCTACTATCACCACTGACCTGCCTGCTGAGTTGCACAAGCTCATTTCTCTCTGTGTGTCTCAGTAACCCTGAGTGAGCATATAGTGTGTCTCTCTGCATGTGAGTCTGAGATGGGGATAAACATAGGTCAAGCGCTCAGTATGTCCTCCACCCCCAGGCTTGCATGGTCACTCTGTGGATCAGCTATTCCTACTCATCTTATTTCTATGGCTGCCCAAAGGTGGAAACAGCAGAGGGAAGCTTGGGCATGGGAAGTCACCGCTGGGAGCGTGAGACTGTCCACATAGGTCATTGACATTTGCAAATCTTGACATCCAGGAGGGTGACATCTGTGAATGGCCCACTTTCCTGGACTTAGCTTTTGGAGGATTGTGAGCACACTAACCCGTTCATGATGACCTCTGACCTCTGCTGGATCTGTTAATGCACACTCTGAGCTTGAAGCTCTGCTCTAACTCCAAAGCTGAGGCAGAAACACTTCAAAGGCCTAGGCTGCACCTGTTTCCTGACTGTCAGCATGCAAACATGGCCTGGTGTTAGTACATACACTTATAGAAATCACACAGCCACAGGTGTGTGATTAAATACATGGGACGTTCACACAACACCATCTGCTTAAGGGTGGAAACAGAGACCTGGCTCCACCACACACACACTAGTAGTAAGTAAGAAAAAGAAAAGGCTAAGTAAATACCCAAATAAAACTTAATTACATTCATCCATGGAATATTATATAGCCATTAAGAGAATAACTATGTAAAGAATATAAAAAAAATCAAAGAAAATGTTTCTGTTTAATGTTAAGTAAGAAAAGCTAATTCAAAACATTCTGGAAAAAAACTTAAAGCATACACACAAAAAGAAGAATTAAGGAAATTTATGGGTCAGAATTTGTCACTTAATTTTTCCTTTCTTATGTTACAACTATACATGGACAAACCTGAAGGATTATGAAGCCCAAATTCTACAAGGTACATGAGAGACATTAAAAGCTCTGGAGGCAGGGTTATCCAATGAGCAACTGCCCCAGTAGAACAGGATGGGACATTGAGGCCTTCTGGGGAAGGGGGAGGCACTGGGAAGTTCCCAGAAGTAATATCTTGTCAGTCACAAAGGTCTTGATCACTCCCAGGCATGAAGCTGAAAGCACAAAACCTGAATAGGTTATGTTGGTGCTAACAGAAGGGCAGGAAGTCCATTTGTCTACCAGCTTCTGAACTAACACAACATTCTTCCTCATTTCATCTCATTTTTTTTTTTTTTTTTTTTAACCACGAGAGCAGAGAGCAGGGGACCTGAATAGAGCATGTCCCCAACTAATGTGCATAGCCAGATGTATGCCAGAAGACAGATCATATTTTCAGTAGGAAGTGGTGACGATCCACAGATAACTCAGGAGGGCCAGCCTGTGCTCAGACTATCAGTCAAAAAGGAGAAAAATAAATTTAAAAATGTTTAGAGGAGAGCTCATACAAGCTTTAGATTCATTTGATTTCATTTATGTAATTAAACTCTGCCCTTACGTTATCTTCTGTTATGAAATCATTATACTTGGGTGACTAGCCCAGAGCGAACCCTTCCAGCCACAAAGAAAAACAATACCAATAAACTTGTAAAAACTACCCACTGCCACTGCCCCAAACTCCAGATGACACTGGAAGGAGCTGTCTTAAAACCTGCTGGGCTCCATAAATCTCCCAGTAAACAGCCCCACACTGTTCCTGCCAGGGGAACCTAATTCACTTTTTTCCCCATAAGAAAGCAGCCCTTGTAACATTTTTCCATATAAGTTGAGAGGAAGGACTGGAGAACTAAACTCAAAAGGAGAGACTAGGATGTGGGGGAGGAGCATTCTCACTCTTATTTAGTGTATTCAAGCTGTAATTTGTCTTAAAAAAGCAGCTAGTTAGAAAAAAAAAATAATAAAAATAAAAGCACGCCAAACCCGTCCCACCCCTCCCCACAATACCCAGCATAGAGCTTTTTAAAATTCAGCCTCTGCCCCTCCTTTCCCAGTGACATCAGCCAGAGGCTCCCCACCTGCCCAGTTGCCATAGCAGTCACACAAAGACACACAATGACATCAGTTGGCATGATATCAGCTCTTTGAATGCAAACAATACAAGAAGAACTACTTTGTTTAAGGCCTCGGGTACAACTGTGTTCTGAGGAGCAGATGACGTAATGCTAACAGGTGGCAAGGGGCCTTCCATTTGCCTGAGGGGGGGTATATGGGGGAGGGGTGGGCCACAGGGAGTCTAAGACCCACTCACAGAAGGCTTCTTCTACCCTTAGGGTGTTGTGTGCTTCTGTGAAATGATGTGTGTTGTACATGTGAGCCTTGTGGGAAAGACGCCTGTGCACTGTTTGTAGGGAGAGGAGAAGGGAAAGGCCATGTGACACAAACAACTCCGGGGATAAGGAAGTTCTCACTGAGGATCTGTCTGAAGAGAGTCTCCCCTTAAGTTTGTTCATGCCAGACACTCATCCTCACAGGATGGAGATGTGCCACCATGCGCTGAAGTGGGAACTCTCTCCTGGATGGCCTTTAAGGCCTTCTGAGCAGTATTATCTTACAGGGGTGTTTCAGAGAAATCTGCATTGAGGTTGTTTGTGTCTCTTAGGGGTGAGAGTGGGGATGTGATGTGGTTTTGGATTGGTAGCAGCAGGGGAAGAGAAGAGTAGAGCTAAGGAAGTCATTTTTGGCCCTCCAACTCCATCAAATGATTACTTAATGAGGGGTTTTTAATTATGTTTGACATTACTATGTAAGAGCTACAAAGGGCTGGGAAGATGGCTCAGTTAGTAAAGGGCCTGCTGTACAAGCATTACAATCTGGGTTTGGATCCCCAACACCCCTGTGATGACAAGGAGCAATGTGTCTGTAACCCTCCCACCCCGCACTGGGGAGGAGAAGACAGGGAGAGCCCTTGTACCTCATGCACGCACACACACACACACACACACACACACACACACACACACACACACACACACACACCACAAAAATGAAAGCATCACTAACAGACTGAGGGAGTGGAGGGAATACAATATGGTAGATGGAGACACATGGGCCAAGCCTAGGGTGAGGACTCAGCCTCCTAGGAACTTATGTGAACCTCTTCCCTGGGGGAAGCTCAGTCTACTGTGACCCAGAGATAATATAGCCTATGCATTGTGCTGAGGTAGAGGATTCCTGTGTGAAGGCTTATAGATACATTACACAGCATTCAATAATCCCATCTTATTATGTCTACATCTTCAGCGTGGTCCTACAATCACCTAACTCAATCTGGTAATGAGGTGAAGCTGCTGGAGTCGGAGCCTGACCTGACAAACCCTTGCTATGAGATCTGTCTCTTCCTCCTTTTCCCCCTACCAAAGACAGGGATAATAGTAGTGCCTACCTCGATGTTATTCTAAGAGCAAATTCGTTAATAAATAGGAAGTTTGTTGAAATCATAAGGGGAATGTGATGGACATTTTATTCATTACTAGAAAAAAAAGAAGCTAATATCATACAAAAGCTCTGACAAGGGAACATTCTAAGATTTTCACATTTTAATAGTTATTTATTTGATATTTCTCTGTAGATATGGCTGGCTTGGTGTTGTGTCGACCAAGGTGGCCTCAAACTCATGGCAATTCTCCTTCCTGCACCATCATGCCCACCTTAAATTTTTATTTATGTAATAACGAGGAGCAAACATATCTGAGGAGTTTAAAAGCCTGAGTAACATAATTCTATCTTAAATAAACAACAGGTCATGTTTTTCCTCAACAGCAGATTTGATTTTCTTCCCCTAGATTAGCTTTCCCAATAATCTTGGGATTCCTGTTTTTGCCATGAACCGAGCTTTTAAGAAATGAAATAGTTTTTACCCTTTTCCCCAGTCCCCCACCCCAAACTAGGCGGGCAGGCTTCCTGCATACAAACAAGTGGCTCAAGGTTGTCAATGCTAATATTTTTGAGATATGCACTACAAGGTGGAGAACAAGCACTTTCAAACCTTGTCTGAAAATCAGGTTTCCTTGGCTTTGAGTCCATGAGTTTGAAAGGTGATGAGAAAATGCTCAGCACCTCAAAAGAAAAAATAATCTGGGTGCCACCAGGCGCATTCGGGGGCAGCCTGGGATTGACAGACTCACTTTGGTGGGGAAACCACTTTTGTTGTTTTTGGGGGCACACTTGGACTTCTGTTGTTTGCTACTGCAGTGCCTTCTGTGTGTGTTGTGATTCTCTGACTGCAGGGCTAAAGAACCAAGGCTCACGTGGGGAATCCATAAGCAGGAGACGGCCACGTTCTACAGAGAACAGTGTCAGAAGTGAGGCTTAGCCAGAAATTGAAGGAGAACGTGGCTTGAAGGTCAACAAATAGAATTAGTGTCTACAGAAGGGTGCAGGCTGCTAATCTAAAACTGGACTCTTTGTTTGGGGTAAGGATATTATCGGCACATATCGGCAGCTTTGCTTTTATTACTGTAGTCCCTGTTGGAACATTGGTAGCAGTGAA